TTGTCTGTGGGTGGGGAATGGCCTAGGACCCCTTTCACTAAAATGGTAAAATAGTTCAAAAATGTTATGTGGAATAACTTACCAACGTAACACAAAGTAAACCAATTGAATTTAAAACCGAGAATATGACAAGCAGCCTCTCGGCTGAGATAGCTCCGCTGTTATCAATGCACGTTTCAATTAAAGAACTGAAGATATCATTAGAAAATGAACAATTGTATAGTATCAAAGCAATTGGACTTACAGTTTTTAACAAGAAGTCGAAAATATCACTTTTTACCAAAAATTACAAAAATATTCACCAAAATTAGAGAATTAAAGATATCATTACAAAATGAACAAATCTGAGAGAGGTCCACATGTCGTACCTATATATGTAATATCAAAGCAATTGCACTTGCGGTTTTTAACAAGAAGTCGAAAATATCACTTTTTACCAAAAATGACAAAAATATTCACCAAAATCAGAGAATTGAAGATATCAACATGAAATGAACAAACCTAAGAGAGGTCTACCCAAGGTACATATACACCAAGTATCAAAGCATTCAGGCTTGTAGTTTTCAAGAAGAAGTCGAAAAAGTAAAACATTGACACGGACGACGGACGACGACGGACAATCACTCATATGATAAGCTCCGCTCGACAAAGTCGACAGCGGAGCTAAAAATGTATGTAACAGAGCTCAAACAAACTTTTTGAATATTATAAAATTCACACGTTTCACATCAAATATATCATTTATTGTTGTTTTCGAACCCCCTATTCAAAAGTGCTAGCTGCGGGCCTGTTCGTTGAGTTCCTCCTCAACAGAATATATTTTTGTCATGGAGTTTGGGCGGGGGGCAGAATCGCCGCCCACGTGTCGTTAGTAAAATGAAAGTGTCAATGGCGGCCATTTTGTGAAAGCGCAGGTAAACCACAGGAGCCCAGGAACTATGATCAAACCGTTAAGTATTCGTAAATGGAGTCAATTTGTTTAGTTTTTTTTACTTATATAGGTAAGGCTTTGGCGAAATTTGAAAGAGCAACTGATAATCTTCAACCTGGTATTTTTTATAGATTTTATTTTTCATTCTGTTCGTCTGTTTTTTCCAGTTTAAAAAAATATGAGCTGGCTGGAGCCTTCACCCCTTGTCTATTTCTTACACTAGATACCAGCCGATACACCCCCCCCCCCCCGCTCATAGGGAGTGCATACAGTTGATCATAGCTTCCTATTGGTAAACTTTGAAGCGAAGCGTCAAGTTTAAAATCGAGACTGTTACCCTAATTTTCGAAGGTATTAATATGGATTGTTGCTGAGAAGTCACGAGAGAAATTTTGGACACTATGTTTTCCACTATACATTCTTATGCTCCTCAAATAAATCACGTGCCTAATTTCATGTTTCCAATGACGACAGACAGACTCGGGCTGTTGAATTATTCTAGACTTGTTTTCATAACCATATATAGTGAGTGACGTCACATTTAGCTGAATAAATTTAAACCACGTTTGTAACTTAAGTGACGGGGAATACATTCATGTTCGTCAACACCCATGTGACAGCCGCCCATTGACTTTTTTGTTTCTATTTCTTTTGAAATTTACAGTTACTTTTTCTTGCTGCTAGTTCGACAGACTTTCCAGGCATTGCAAAGCGTGTATTTTGAGTTGGATAGATATAGCGCGGTAGTCGTCGCGCTGCGCATGTTCGACATTTGTGTTGATAAATATTGATTTTCCCACAATCCAATGCACTCTTCAAATGGAAATCACAAGTATGAGGTTTGATCTGGGC